GCTCTGAGTACTTCTGAGTGTTCTTGCCTCAAGTCTGCTGGGAACTCTGACAAGCTAATCATCTTGAACCTGCAGTACAAGTGGAGTGCCCCTTTAACCTGGGCTTCCCATCCTGTTCAAGTGCCTGCCCGGCTGTCTGCTGTACAAGCTCTGTGTACCACTGAGTGTTCTTGCCTCAAGTCTGCTGGGAGCTCTGAGAAGCTAATCATCCTGAGCACAAGCAGAGTGCCCCTTTAACCTGGGCTGGACACCTGAGCCACCTGAGCCTACCATTCCTGAACCGATGGTCCGCCAGTCTCCTCGTGTCTGCATCTCCTGCTGCGGGTTCTTCTATCAACATCTGCTGACACTCGTGTTCCTCCTGTCCCTTGGTACCCTCTCTTCCACTTTCAGTGGGGCCTGGGCTGGAGACACTAGTGAGGGCAACCTTGTCATTTTAGTCTCCTATCATTTACGTGACAGCTGCCCCTGTTGTTCAAGTGTGAAAGAAAGATGGCAGGTTGCAGTTCTGTTTGGACTATCAAAGCCTGTACCCATAAGGATGCCTTCCCATTGCCTCAGGTAGAGGAATCTCTCTCCCCAGTACCTTTGAGAGACTGATGGAGCAATGCCTGGGGGATTCCAAGCTTGAAACAGTATTGATTTACTTGGATGATATTATCATCTTTTCTAAAACCTTTGAAGATCACTTCCTGCATCTAGATTGGTTGTTCACACGTCTCTCGCAGTACATGTTGAAGCTGAAGCCTAGCATGTGCCACTTGATGTGGAAGAAATCCAATACTTGGAACAGGTCATTGACGCTTGGAGGGGGGGGATCACCTGTTCCTGCTAAGGTTCAAGCTGTACAAATTTGGAACTTCCCAAAAACACTGACTGAGCTGCATTCCTTCTAACATCTAGTAGGGTACTACAGACGTTTATCCCTAAATTTGCCCACATTATGGCACTTCCTACCCAGTTGTTTGGCAGACAAGTTCCACAGCAAAGGGGGTGGCCTTCGTCTTCCATCCAGGCCCAATGGCATGAACCACAGTAACAAGCCTTTGTCAACCTGAAGCAGAGTCTGACTTCAGCCCTTCTTGTGGCTTACATAGACTATACTAAGGCCTTCCGGATCCACACAGGTGGAAGCTTGCAAACAGAGGCGAAACCTTCAGTGCCCCAGTGCAAGAAATCATGAAGGGCCCCCTGGTCCCCGGCCAAGGGTCCTTCCCTCCAAGCCTGGGGCTCTTACCTCTGAGCCCAGTGGAGGAATGCTAGGGCCCGGTTATAAGTGTGAACTTTGCGACCCTGGTAGTTCCACCACTGGTGTTAGTAATTTTTTTTATTATTATTTACCATTTTATTTATTACATTTTTTTACAATATTATTGTTTTATTATTATATTACAATTTTTTAGGAGCCCCGTTGTGGGGCTTTTTTCAGGGGCTAAACAGAACTCTGATGTTTCACCTTTGGGACTGAGAAAGGAGATGGGGGACAGAGAAAGGAGATGGGGGACACAGCCCTCAAACTCCTTCTCTGCATCCTCAGCTGCACAGAATGAATGGACAGAAATAGGTCTGTACAAAGCTTACCATTCATTCACAAACTGAAGCATAGTAAACACAGTCCCCGCAGCAGCTGGCGGTAGAGGGGAGGGGGGAACCTGGCAGAGCTGTGTGGGGGCCAGGAGACAGTACAGGTGGGAACGGAGAAGAGCACAGGGGGACTGGAGAACAGCACAGGGATACCGGAGAAGAGAACAGGGACACCAGAGAAGAGCAGGGGTGAGGGAGAGCACAGAAGTTGCCAGGGAAGATCACAGTGGGGCCAGGAAAGAGCAGAGGGGTCCACGGGTAGCAGAAGGAAGCTGGACAGGAGGGGCGGCATATAAAGGAACTGATACCTTCCATGTTCCTCCTGCAGCCACTGAATGCCCACTTCTCCTCCTCTCCTTCCCGCAGGCATTCAACAACTGTAGGAGGAACATGGAAGGCCCAGATCATGTTTTCCAAATTTTTCTTCTCATTCTACGGATTTCAAATTGTCAAGCTTTCATTCATTTTTTAAAGTACTTTTACCTTTTGTTAACATTTCTTTTATTCTTCCAATACCATTCTATACTATTTTTCTAACTTTATTTGTCCTATTTTATGTAAGCATGGAAGAAGGGGATATCACGTGACCGACACATATTGGCTATTTAAGATGTTCTTAGTTAAAGTGGAAGGAAATGCATCATCATCATCATCATCATCATCATCATCAATTAGCACCAAGCAACCATAATTCACCATTTTACCAAATCTGCATTATTAAAATGTCTACCTCTTTTTTGTTGAAAAGACCTTCATTCTGATGCATGCGCTCCTGGGTGTGTCCCTTGCCAGCTAGCTACGTCATTTCCAGAAGGGATATAGCTAGCCGCGGCATTGACATAGAATGGTAGCATAATACACATTACAAGTGGCGCCTGCAAGCCTGCCTGGGGAATCCTTTCCATAGTAATAGGACGCCGAGGGAGATATCTTTTTTTATTTACAGGTACTGCTGCACCAGCCTCATCTGCAGGAGAATGTGAGTTTAAATGAGGGTTTACACACACACTTATCCAAATATGTGTGAGTGTGTGCGTGTTGTGCTGTCCTACTAACGGTTAGCCGACAGCTAGTTAAAAAAACTGACAGAAGCAGCCTTGCGTTTCATTCCAAAACTGAATTTACTTCTGTGAATAGTTCTGTAAAACTGCAATACAATCAGATTCTTTCTTGGATACACAGAATATAACTGGATACGAACATTTATAGGTAAAGTTGATCCAGGGAATATCCGATTGCCTCTCGGGGGATTAGGAAGGAATTTTTTCCCCTACAGGAGAAAATTGGATCATGCTTTGCTGGGTTTTTTTTTGCCTTCCTCTGGATCAACTGTGGGAAAGGATTATAACTTCTTTTTTTTTTAATGGTTGAATTGGATGGACTTTTGTCTTTTTTCAGCCAGACTAACTATGTAACTATGTAACATAAACTGAAATTACAATATGCCTGTAAACACGTCTCTCATTAATGCATACAATTAACTTGTGTCTTACAAACAGCTAACTACAAATCACATTGAATATATTGAAATGCCATCTAGCCATGTATGTGACTTTAACAAACACAATGAAAAAACTTACAGACATATGTGTATCAAAGGGAGAATGGATGTGACCTTCATTTGTGTTCTAGAAGCTGAAATGGAACTGCAGTGGTTTATGGAAAATCTTTTTTCTTGACAAACATGAGACACTTCCTGTTATTTATTGATAGGGGTGCAATTGCAGTGAATGCCCAACAGATAGCTCCCTACTCAACACAATGATGATAACCAGAACATGTGTGTGGAATTTTCATCAATGGATTGCAGCATGGGACTTTTTTTTTTAATTAAAGGGCTTTATCACGGTGTGGTTGTTTTTTTTTTTCTATTTCACGTGTTCAGGTGAATGGGTAACAAGGGGTACTATGTACCCCATACTCATTCACAATGGGGGGTAGACATCTGGGGGACCCTTTCTTAAAGATGTCTTCCAGAATCTGCAGAGGTGGTGGGTGGGGTTTGTCAGCTATAGTGAGAGAGAGGGGCGCTAGAAGCACAAGTAAGGCGCTAATAGGGTGCAGGGATGGAGCAAATTAGGAGGCTCCGGCTATGAGCCCTCTTCGCCTAGTGCAGTCACTTTTTTGTCTCTAGTAACCCCACTTCCCCACTTACCTGTAGAAGCAGAGTACTGCCCATAGGACAGAATATGGGCGGGCATTCTTTCTTGCCGCTTCCTGATTTACCAACAGGGCGCTCGGCGGGTGCAAGTCAGGTGCTGGTGGGTGGGCGTGAATATAGTGCAGGTCAGGGGAAGAGAGGAAGCTTGTCACGTGACTATCAAAACCCCATAGAATTGGGCTTGTCATACAGTGTACATGTAAATAACATTCCCTCCTATGAGCCCCCGCTGCAGCCTGTTCTTTTTGAGTGGCTTGGCCTGCATTCAGGTCTTTTTCTGACACCTTTTGTTTAAAAGTAAAAGTCAATATTTTTTGCTAGAAAATTACTTAGAACCCCCAAACATTATATATATATATATATATATATATATATATTAGCAGAGGCCCTAGAGAATAAAATGGTGGGTTTTTCAATAGTTACATAGTCTGGCTGAAAAAAGACAAAAGTCCATCCAGTTCAACCAAAAAAAAAAAAGTTATAATCCTATACCCACAGATGATCCTTATGAAGGCAAAAAAACACAGCAAAGCATGATCCAATTTGCTCCTGCAGGGGAAAAAAATACCTTCCTGATCCCCCGAGAGACAATTGGATATTCCCTGGATCAACTTTACCTAAAAATGTTAGTATCCAGTTATATTCTGCGTATAGAATTAAGAATCCAGGCCTTTTTTAAAGCAATCCACTGAGCTGGCCAGAACCAACTCTTGAGGGAATCTATTCCACATTTTCACAGCTCTTACTGTGAAGAAACCTTTCCGTGTTTGGAGATTTTGGTTTCATTTCCTCCAGATGTAAAAAGTGCCCCCTTGTCCTCTGTGATGACCTCAGGGTGAATAGCTCTACACCGAGTTCACTATATGAACCACTGATGTATTTATACATGTTGATCATATCCCCCCTTAATCTCCTCTTCTCAATAGAGAATAAATTCAGTTCCTCTAATCTTTCCTCATAGCTGAGCTCCTCCATGCCTCTTATCAGTTTGGTTGCCCTTCTCTGTACTTTCTCCAGTTCCGCAATGTTCTTTTTGTGAATTGGTGCCCAAAACTGAACTGCATATTCCAGATGAGGTGTTACTAGTGATTTGTACCGGGGGAAATTATATCTCTCTCTCTCTGGCCAATCAGTGTTCACATGCAGAGTAGTAAGCAAGATGTCACTTCTGAGATCATTGCTTACTACGTGTGAAATCTGTGAATGATCACAGAGGTCACATGGTACAAGGCTATTCACAACAGCCTAGTACCATGTGACAAGCTGTGACCAATGACAGCTCACACAGCATTTCTCAATGGCTGCAAGAATGCAGCCAGAGAGAAGGAGAAATGATTGCTTTTACATCCTTTATGGGTGAAAAAGCAATCTGTGTAAAAAAAAAAAAAAAAATTTTATCACTCCCCACAAGTAGTACAGTGTCACTATGTTGACACTGTACTTCTAGGGTGACAGTATGTAAAAAAAACTCATAAATAATAATATAAAAAAATAAAATAAAAATGTAAAAAAAAGTTTAAAAAGTTTTGGTTGTAAACTAATTTGGGTTATTTTTTTTTACTAAAAAGATAACTGAACAAATTTTGGCCAAGATTTATGATGAAATATTATTTATTAGCAAAATTTTATAAGAAAACACTTTTCAAAATTTTTGGACTTTTTCATTTATATAGCAAAAAAAAATAAAAATCCCAGTGGTGAATAAATACCACCAAAACAAAGCTTTATCTGTCTAAAAAAATCATATAGGTACAGTCTTGCATGACCGCGCAATTGTCATTCAAAGTGTGATAGCACTGAAAGCTGAAAATTGGCCTGGACGGGAAGGGGGTGAAAGTGTCCGGACTGGAAGTGGTTAAAAATGGCGGTGTTTACATCCAGGAAACTGTATATACTGGGATCATGCTTGTAGCTGTAGGCATCATTCCAGTCTAACCACCTAAATTCAAATGACGTACATGCCATGCACATGATTAGATGTTAAGTGGATATTAAAGCAGAACTCCAGTAAAAAAAATTGTTAGTGGGGCTGTGCCCCCATTGCATGGATCAGCTGCTTGTCTAGGGGTGAGGACCACGCTCATACTCACCTGACTCCTATGGAAAGCCATGCTTCCCCACATTCAGCGGTGGGCTCTTCCTGCATGTGGAACGCGTCTTGAGCATGCTGACGTCAGGAACAGTCCATTTACAAGACCGCTTGACCATGGGGGTGCAGGAGCCAAAAGGACCGGTCTTGTGCGGGGAGGATTGGAGGGTCAGGTGAGTATATCTTCAGTGTCCTCTCTGCTAGAATAAAACGAGCATTTGCCGGCACAGCCCCACTGCATGGGCCAAAATTTTTTTCCCAGGATTTCTGCTTTAAGGCCTGGAGCTGCAGCTTTAATAGCCTCTACATTAATCTGGCCCTGGCAGCAGCCAAAAGCCAGCAGGAGGGAGAGGGGAAGAAGGCACATTTGAACTGCTGCAGGAAGAAAGTGCCATACAGCGATCCCCTCATCGCACCAGTCTCCCTCCCTGCCCACATCCCATTGCCCCTGCTACAGAGACCTTGTACCGGAGGACTGGTGGTACAAGCTATCAGCGGGCAAATATATATATAAATACACACACAGTAACAAAGCAAAATAATGTGTTTTTTTTGTGCCCATTTTCTGTGTGTGTGTTCGTGTGTGTGTATATATATATATATACATATATATATATATACACCTACCAGATCAACACTACTCCAAGAATGATGGTCAGGAATAGACATATGCAGTTCTTTTTTGTTCCAAATCAAAATTCGGGCAACATTTTTGTTATTTGGAAGTATCCCAGCGATCGGCGGCAAACAGTGACAGACAGCACAGCTGCAGTAGCTGTGCTCTCTGTCACTTCCCTGTCAGCTCGAGGATGAGCTGATCGAGAAAGAAGAGTTTCTCTTTCTCGATCAGCCTTGTCCCGCCCAGTACACCCCCCCGCCCCCTAGTAAAACACTCCCCTCACTCCTATAACCCTTCCCTGCAAAATAAAGTTAACCCCTTCCTCCCCATTGCCATTAGTACAGTGTCAGTGTTTTTTTTTTTTGCACTGATCACTGTATTAGTGTTTTTGGGGATGTCAGTGACCCCAAGTCAGTACCCCCTAATGTCAGAATGTCCGCCGCAGTCCCGCAATAAGTCGCTGGTCGCTGCCATAAGTCCCCGATCGTCGCCTTAATTCGCTGATCGCGAATTATATCGATTATTAGTATATAAAAAAAACTAAAAATCCCAGTATCTTTCCCGCCATTTGTAAACGCTATAACTTTCACGTAAACCAATTAATTTACACGTATTGGGGTTTTTTTTTTTAGCAAAGACATGTCGCAGAATGCATTTTGGCAGAAATTTATGACTAAATTTGATTTTTGCATTTTTTTTTACTGGACATGTTTTATAGCAAAAAGTCCAAAAATATTGTTTTTTTTCCCTCAAAATTGTCAGCCTTTTTTTTTATAGCGCAAAAAATAAAAACCGCACAGGCATTCAGATACCACCAAAAGAAAGCTCATTTTGTGGGGGAAAAAAAGAATGTAAATTTCATTTATGTACCATATTGCATGACCGCGCAATTGTCCGTTAAACTAGCGCAGCGCTGTATAGCAGAAAAATGGTGTAAATTGCAGTATTTATACCATAGTTTGTAGACGCTATAACTTCCACACAAAGCAATCAATATACACTTATTGGGATTTTTTTTACCAAAAACATGGAGCAGAATATATTTTGGCCTAAATTTATAACCAACTTTGAGTTTACTATATATTTTTTATAGCTGAAAGTAAAAAATATTGTTTTCCTTCAAAATTTTTGGCCTTTTTTTGTTTATAGCGTGAAAAATAAAAAGTGCACAGGTGATCAAATTACACCGAAAGAAAGCTCTATTTGTGTGAAAAAAAGGACGTAAATTTCGTTTTGGTGCAGCATTGCATGACCGCGCAATTATCAGTTGAATTAGTGAAGCGCCGAGTAGCAAAAAGAGGCCTGGTCATTAAGGGGGGTAAATCCTCTGGAGGTCAAGTGGTTAAGTCTTAAAACGTGTGCAAAGGAGTCTGGAGCTCCACCTACTGGCTGCAAATATAAAACTGCTATATGTAAATTTGGAAACCTGCATATTTGCCTGATTAAAATATTGAATATTTGCAAATAGGTATTTTTAAAGCCTTAGCATAAAGAAAAGTATACAAAGCAGCATACATTTCCTCCTAAACCTTAGACAATAATGTCAGAGTGTGAGTGTGCTTCCTCTGAAGACGGCATTCACTACCTCCTACTGTGGCAAGGCACAGGAAGCAGCAGATTTGTGATCCCTATAGACAGACAGCAGGTGCACAGGCCATGAGAAACATTACCAAAGGTGAGCAGCATATACACGTGGGAACAAACTCTTTCTGTTTATATGTACCCAGAACCAAAAGAACAAAGAACAAAGTAAATACTTGGCCCCATGAGCTTGCCATTCAGACAGCTGTCTTCTTAACAAACAGTCTGTTGAGTGTTTTAATCCTTTGGAGCCCTAAACAAGTCATGTGGATGCTGGGCGAAATGCTTCACTACTGTGATGTAATATATATTCCGAGTGTGTGTTTATGGAACACTGCTGTAAGTTGATCGTTATTTTTAAATACATGTAATTTCATCAGCTGTCTTTTTCCAAACATTGATCTTCTGTAATCAGCCGTAATAAGAGGTTCTGAGAGACATTTATGAAAACTTGTGTAAAGGAATAAATTGGTGTTGTAGACCAACGAGATAAATAAACACTTTTCTTTCATAGGTAAGGGAGGCTCAGCAAAATATTTCTTTATTGATAACACACCTAACCTAAATAAATACGTCCTAAATGTATCTTTAAAAGTCTACCCTTCTCATTCACTAACATATTTGTCGTCCATTCTTCATTTTCCGAGTTTTATATAATTATTAAGGGGTTTCATCATCACGCCTATAAAAGCACAGAAGGAGCAAACATTTTTCAGTGTATGCTTTCGTACCAAGCTGGACAGACCACTCTGGCCTGTTTGCTTCAGCACCAAAAATGCTGGCATTAATAACCTCCAACCCTCGTTAAGTTCAGCTTTGGAACATCCAACATGTTTCAGCTCCTGGTTTCTCTACTTCAATCCCCCTTCCCTGTGGCAGTGGGGGAGGGGGATCTTCTCACAATACCTGCTGTAAAAAGTTAAAACCACCGAGGCCTTGCAGGGCATGTGAATGAAAGAACTACAACTACTGTTGGCCTCCGTGGCCGTCAACATGTAGTGCTTAACAGCTTCCCGACCCCCCTATAGCAGATATACTGCTACAAGGAGGCATGGGTGCGCAAAAATTACGTGTATATATATGTGAGTTCGCATTTCTGGGTAGGGGTGCGCGGCGTCCTACCCGCACCCGCCATTCAAGGCCGTGGCTGTCAATCACCGGTTCTCGGCCAGTGATTACTCGCCTGCGCCCGGTGATTGCCAAGGATCTCCAACAGGGAGAACTGTATATAAACAATACAGTTCTCCTCCCTGTCAGCTTGTGCACAGCACAGCCATCCAAAGCAGTGTGATTACAGTGAAGCGTGCACACACACAGAGCTTACTGTGAAACAGCACACAGTTAACCCTTTGATTGACCCTCATGTTAACCCCTTCCTGCCCAGTGCTATTAATACAGTGTCAGTTTTTTTTTTGTTTTAGCAGTGATCACTGTATTGGTGTCACTGGGCATGTCAGTGACACCAAGTCAGTTCCCCCCAGTGTCAGAATGCCTGCCACAATCCCACTATAAGTCACTGATTGCCGCCATTACTAGTAAGAATAACATTTTTTTTTTTAAATTCCAGTATCTATGCCGCCATTTGTAAATGCTATATCTTTCACGTAAACCAATTAATTTACACATATTGGGATTTTCTTTAGCAAAGACATGCAGCAGAATACATTTTGGTCTAAATTTATGATGAAATTTGATTTTTAAAATTTTATTACTGGACATGTTTAATAGCAAAAAGTATTTTTTTTATAGTGCAAAAAATAAAAAATGCACAGGCGATCAAATACCACCGAAAGAAAGCTCAATTTGTGGGGAAAAGAAGGATGTAAAGTTAATTTTGGTGCAGTGTTTGCATGACTGTGCAATTGTCAGTTAAAGTAACGCAGAGCCGTAACGCAAAAATGGCCTGGTCAGGAAGGGGGGTAAATCCTCCAGAGGGCAAGTGGTTAATGAACTGCGAGGGTGCTGGTGAGTGATCTTGTAGATTATTGATTCTTCCTGCCATTCAGTAACTGCCTGTTTGAACAAGATACAGGTGGACAGCTGTACTGAATG